ATTATGGTGACAGTGATTTGCAACTGGTGTAGAAAATCAAAGAACGGACGTGACAGCGGTTTCAAATTAGGTCAAACTAGTTGTATATTTTTCTTTTCTCTAGGACCTCGAATGTACATTCGGCGTGACTAGGTGAGTTGTTTGTTTTTATATCATTAAAATAATTTATAATTCTTGATTTTTATGACATTTACACAATTGTCAACATTAGGTTAAGTCATTTTTAATAATTACAATATAATAAAATGTTTGTAAACTAAATTAAGTTGTTATGATACTGGCTGGCGAAGTAAGTGTACACTTAACACACTCCAATTCACTATACACTCACTTACACATTAAAAATTTATAAAGATTCTATAGGGCAAAATCATTTTCATGAACCCCCCAATTGCGGCGAGCTAGTTAGATAAAGTTTAGAGCCCTTTGAGCTGCTTTGCATGCTACAGTATAACCCGGATGTTCTTATTTACGGTTCGGTAAACATTCGCATAACGCAAAGGTAGTAAAGACGCCGCAATGACAGTTCGTAAAGTTCTTACTGATTTTGGTCACCATCAGCTGTCTTCTCGCACAGCTTTAGTGAGTATTATCATGATGTGCATCGTTCTTTTTATTTATAAAATTCAACTGCATTTAAAATATACTTGCTCCGAGTCTTAATAGTCGAAATATGCGCTGCGGTCTTTATCGGGTAGCTTATGAATGTTCTCACGGTAGACACTTACCGTTTTGGAGGCGAAAAAGCCATAGATCCATATTCGCTTATCTTCAACTTCTGTGAGCCGCTGACCTGCTAAGTATGGTTGCATCGATCTGCACAAGTGTTAATAGAAAGAGGCCAGGTATGAAGAATATGCAGGGTACCAGCTTAAGCTGAAAATTATTTCCTTGGTTGATTTTGGTGCTTTCAAGACAAAAGTTTTTTGTCCGAAATCTCGCAACCCAATTTCCAACGGTTTCGTAATTGGCGAGTTTTTATTCCCAGCTAACTTAATGTAGCTTGAGCTGGAGCATTTCCAGAAATGACATTCACATCTTTAAACTTTGATGTATACTGAACGGCAGCTTGTAAACAACTGAAACTTACGTCGTCGAAGCATCAACATCGAAGTTATCTATACGTGAAATTTCGAGACACTTGAAAAACGAGAGTTATTTATTCCTAGGTCGTCACGCGAATTGTAGACATGACAAGTCAGTGTATATCGAATTTTGTATAAAACTCTTGGCCTGCATTATTATGAGTTATAGTTGGCGCAAGAATCGAAGCTTTCAAATCGTCCACATAAGCTTACACTTGTTGCGGATTTACGAGTAGTATATATGTAACACATGTTCGAAAGGACTTTTTATTATACAGATCAGTTGAAACCTGTTTACCCGGTGTGAAGGTGTAACTATACCCTAGATCACTTGTAATGCAGTGTATAGTAAGTTTTCGTGAACGTATTTAACATCCATAAGGGCTTAATGTAGGCCCGTTTTATCAGAATGACCGAATCAGAATCATCTTTTTTCCGTCTGATGTCTGTCTATGTTTATATTCAGTCTATAGGTCGGATTTTTCAGATATCCTTATGAAATTTAATACACTAACGTGCTCTGGGGAACGTTCTGAGCGAAAATGATCGAGATTGGTCACTTTTTCGATCACTCCCCATATAACGACCTATTTTCAAAGACCATTATATGGAATAAAAATTCCAATTTTCAAAAATTTTCGACAAAACCCGCTGCGTAATTGCATTTCGACGTTCTGTTTAGGCATGAAAAATTTAATTCGGCTGCGGCAATTTTTTGAACCATCTTTGATATAACCTAGGAACACTAAATCTTTACAAGGTTAAAATAGGTAATTTTCGACATTTCATGGTGAAAATTGGTTCATAACAGTAAATTGACAAAGAAATCAACCTTACCGATATAGGGTTGGTTACGTAGGTCCATTTCTTGGATACCACCTCAAGAAATGAAAACCCTTATATTCCAAAAAGGCCTATATATTGTTTTATGATGAAAATTTATTCACGATAGTGATTTGATATAAAAATTACGTGGACTATCTTGGATCCCATCCCACATAAATTCTCATCGCTAGTAAACCCTCCAGAGAATGGTTTGAATTTTTTTTTGTTAACCGAAGTGTGTGTGCAAGATACTCGTTCTCTTCCAGATTTGCAAAAATAAAGCAACAATTAATTAGATTTTTAAAATTTCATATGCATTTTATTTTTATTATTGTTTACATATATAAGTTTATATTTATTAATAATTAAAATTGTAAGATGTCTTGTTTTAGAAAATAAAAGAAACTCTCTGGCATATCTCATATAAAATAAAATTATCTCTTTTATTTCATTTTTCTCGGATATGAGTAATAAAACTCACTGAAAGCAAATTTTGGAAATTAGAAAAAACAAAAGTAAAAATAAAAGAAAATTATCTTGAACTTGATTCGACTCATTAACCGCCTAAAAAACATTTTTCTTTTAAGGACTAGAGCCAACCTTAAAAAATCTAATAGATTTGTTGAATACAAGTCGTAATACACATAACATAACGAATACTTGGAATTATGCGCTTGTATGGTTTTACAGCACCTTGTGAATGGTTGGAGGTGATACGATTTCTCCTTGATATTGGGGCCACTTTTTATATATGGAAGGGGATGTGGGCTCAATAAGGCTTATAACATTCTCTGGGACGCAAAATATCTTTTATTATGCAGACTTATTGGAATCATTTGCTGAACCTACCTAAGACCGCCCGTCCTTCCATCTGCTCCATGTTTGTTCATATATTGTTGTGTTCAATCTAAAGGCTGCTAAGATGAAAATGAATTAGATCAGTCCACTTTGCGGTCATCCCCCATACTTTGCCTAATTTTGAAAGTCGTTATATGCCAAATATTGATCTTTGCGCGTTATCCCGACAATAATTGCTAACTATTAGTATTAATATTTTTGCATTGCATTGAACTGCATTAATAAAAAAAAATTTGAATCGGACTGAAGAAATTTTTGCATTGACAACCATATACGTGTTCCTACGAAGACCAAACTATTCTATGGCAAAGACAGTTAAATTTTCAATATTTCATGACAAAAATTGTTCCTTAATAGTGATTTGTCACAAAAATTAACTATACTAAGTTTAGATCATGTATGGCTGTGTATTTGACTCTGCGAAAAATAAGCTAAAAGAATGTAAGTCTATTCTTGTTATTATTCGATATCTAAAAAGTCTAGAATATTGATCCAGTATATTTGGCATAAAAATTAGATGAAGCAAAATTTGGATCAATTTTTGGATCAAATTTCTCATATATATAAACTCAAACGAAAAACGTCCCGTTTGTAGTTTTCTATGAGGCAAATTAAAAAATGCCAAACTCGGTTCAGCGTTTGTGCACCTTCCAATACAATTTAACATTTACAATCTATCTTTGAATGTAAAACTGCGATTTCACATTTTTATACTATTCCTTATCATTAAAATCGACTGTCTGCAGCAAGAAAATACCTTTTATGCAAGTATCAACAACCAATGCCGATAAAGTTAAGCTAAATTCAGGGAATAGAGCGCTCGAAAATTTCATTCAACGGATTCATTTCCGCAGGAAGACCCAGAACCATGTTTCATTTGCAACTAAATTTGTATCGAATATATTTCGAAAGGGAAAAATTTGATTTTCATTAATACGCCATAATAATATGTAATATACTAAGATTGTGCGGAGCGTTTGAGATAGATCGACTTTTTATTATATCGATCGATTCAGAATCATTTTCTGGTTCGATTTAATCATGTCCGTCCGTCTGTCCGTTTTAAATTTCTGTTTTCAGCCTATAAGCCACAAATTTTGGGCTATTTTGATCAAAATAAATGCCGAAGGACATACTAGGACCCCTACTGGGAAAGATTCGGTTCGGATCACTTTTTCCTTACTTTGCGTTATTTTGAAAACGCGTTTTATAAACAAATGTGCTAAGCAAAGCGGTGGAAACGATGAGCTGCGCCTCATTGTCATTTCACTTCTTGTAAAACAAAATCGTATCACTTTTACTGGAAAACCTTGTGCAATCTAGGAATAATGTTTACAATTACATCAAATGAAAGCAACTTAAGGCAAAAAAACTCTTAATCTTGCTAGTAAAACGCTAAACCCATTCCCTGTCTGCTAATTTTCCGCCGTCGCAGTCATTTCTACTTTCAACTCAATTCTACATAAACACTACTCCACCTCCGCCTACAATTTCAACATCTGATCATCACTAATAGCCCATGTATATACCGGGCATTACCTGATCAGGTGCTAACACAAAAAAAATAAATAAGTAAAAGTAATTGTTTGCCGTACAACGCTGGCAAAAATTAAAAACCAATTTGTTCATTTAGACAGAGCTTTGGCGCCGTTGTCATTGCACCAGATGGACAAACAGAAAGACAAACCGTTTAGATCAATTCCATGATATATGGTTATCATGATCATGAATCTGGGTCTGCGAAGAATGCATCGCAAGGACTCGCCAAGTGTTACGTAATGTAGCACCTGTAGGATCATGTAGTTGATGGTGTAGTTGATGGTACAAAAATGATATTTAATTGAGAAATAATTTGATGACGTGCGAGAGAGTTTTGCAAAGAGGCTCGTTTAACTATTTGCTTATTAATAAAGTCCAAATTTGAGAAAATTAATGCTTATCCTTAAAACCAGCGCATAACGGCCAAATTAAAGTAAGTTATCCACATACATATATATACATGTACATATATTCATATATATATATATATATATATAATTTGAGAAAATTAATGCTTATCCTTAAAAGCAGCGAATAAAGTAAGTTATCCATATATATATATATATATATTGAATATATATGTATATATATATATATATATATATTGAATATATGTACATGTATGAAAATGTAAAAGAAATGCACAAACTATCAACTAATTTATTAAATAATCATTATAATATAATAATAGTCAAAATAAACAAAAATTTTGCTTAAAAAAATGAATATAGCCTAAAGTTACGAATAAACTTAAGTTTATTAATTAACGTTCAACGTGCTTGGATTTTGCGTTAAATTTAGCCAAGAGTTACTACTTAACTCTTAAACGATTTACTGCTATGGATTTTTTGAGTGTCACTGCGGACGCGAGATGTCCAGCTGGAAAAAAAATACATTCAATTTCTTCCGCTCTGTCGTGCATTTATGCAACTGTTTTCAATTTAAAAGCAATGGCTATTTGCATATGTAGGATGAATAATCTGCAAGATCCGAAACACAAAATAGCAAATGTTTTGGCAAATTAGTAACTAATATTTTACGCTTCGCCTATTGTGCCAATCGGCAGATAAGACCCTCTATGGATCTACGACGTTAAAATAATTCTGATAAATATAAATAAAATAAAAACACAAGTCAAGAAATTCGCGACATAAGATTTGTATGAGAAAAACATATTTTTAATAGCATCCGTCCGTCCATCAATTCAAAGCAATTAACCAGTTAACTGTGCATGACGAATATAAACGTTATGATACGTCGGATTCGTCCTTGTCGTATTTCCGAATGTATTTTAGAAAATATTTTTGTCATTTTGTCAAGTACTTTATTACAAACTAATTTCGTGTTACACATACTCCGAGCTTGACGACACAGGTAGACACAGTCAACTGGTTGAATCCATATGAATTGCCTAAAACAAGGAAATGCCAGAATTCATTTCTGTACAGCAAACTTATTACTCTTTCCTAACTATATCCCACACTAATTGTGGTACCGACATACATTAGTTTGTGCGGGTGTATACAAAGGGATTTGAGGTTGGCCAAACTTTTATCTGAGCTTGTCTGTTTGTCAGTCTGTCTGATGTTGTCCATATTCTTTTGTGTTCAACGTACAGATCACAAATTTTTGGAACATTCTGATGAAATTTGCTACCAATTCATTTTGGGCAAAAGAACATTATCGAAAGTAGTTCGGATCAGATCACTTTTTGGACCACTTCCCACATAACATATTATTATGAAGAGCCATTATATGAATAACTATAGCGGCATACGGTATTTGTATTTTTTTAATACGAAAGAGTAACGATCCTTTTTTTTACAGTGCTGAAAACAGCACTAAAATATAATAATTCAAGAGAGAAGTTGAAATGGCAGGTAAGATTTCCTTTTTATATTTTAATTTTATTTTATAATTCTAACAATTTCATTTTATATATATTTTCAAAAGACAAAAAATTATCAAAAAAGGAAATCACTTCCCAAGAAGGCAAAGAAGAACATGTCAACAACAATTTTCGGGGACCACGTCGTCGCCGCGGAGGGCGTAGGTGGCGGGAACGCAATAGGCGCCCA